AATTGGCGCATCGGCTCCGTCCGTATAATAATTTATAATACGGATGGATAAAACTTATGAATTATTTTATCGCGGTGCAACTGCTGAACTTTGGGCCATATTTTAAATCCTAAACATATAAAACGCACCCCATAAATTGCGATGCGGGAGTAAAGAGAGAAATGAAATAAAGAAAAAAATAAACAACAACAGAAACCGTTGGAACTTTTCCCGTTGCTCATTCGAAAACAACAAAAATAATTAACAAATAAAATGAAAATAGAAAATAACAACTGTGATTCGGGTGACGCGAATCGTTAATTAGTTGAATAAATATCGTGTTCCAATTGCGTCGGTATTCCAATTGCGTTGTTATTAAAATAATTATATTGTTTGGTGTACATGCAGAGAGGAGAGACTAATTAAATGCCGCTCTCGTAACTACCAGATAACATAATGTAAAGTCAACAGAAAATATGCGGTTATATGTATTATGACGTTGTATGTTTTGGTTGTGTGATGCGAGTTTTGGCGCGGGAAGTGCGTGTATTTCATGTCCTCTGTGCGCTCACCTGGATAACGTGAATCCGCTGCAAAATGTCGCCCCCCTAATTATTTCAACTAAATTTCCCTATTGTTATTCTCATAAACTACATTTTATTAAATTACTCTAAAACCACGTATTACCACTAATTACATCTATTAATACTCTAATTAAAGCTAAAACTATGAGCTTTAAAAAGCAGTGTTTTTACATTTTATCGTATTACTCGACAAATTTAGTAACTTTACCTTTATTCGTATTACGCAACAACTAAGTATGCTAAATATAATTATAAATATTCTAATTACAGTGAAAGTTATAAGCTTTAATGTGCTTACACTGCTAAATTTCTGTGCACTACAGATTTCCCGTAATAAGCTGTCAAAGTTGAATAGAAAAAGTTGTGAAACTTGAAAGACCTGCACTAAATAGTTTTTTGATGCGTCGTTATAATGAAAACGTGTTATTCTATAAATTTTCGTTGAACATAATTGCGTGTAAATCGAAAACGTTGAATTTTATTATTCAGTCGGGTGAAAAGCGACAAAAAAAATATAATAATAAAACCGTCGAACGCACGATTTTTTTTTGGTGTTGTTGCTGTTGTTAATGCATGAATTTTCGTTACGGTAATAATTATTTTTTGTGACAGCTGTCAATTCGCGCAGCGAAATAAATAAAACGCGCGTATAATGAAAAATAGCGAATCAACAAAAAACAAAAAAAAAGTAAATATAAAATTGAGCGTTTGTCGGACACTTAATTATTCCCGTGTCGATTTAGTTTCCGGGTTGTTGAAATAATTTCGCGATGAAAGTGTTTTTCGCAGCGGTCGCGCATTAAAATTGCATGATCGAGTATTGATGGTTTTCCATTAATAAATACGCAAACACACATATACGTGTATTTATGCAACATATATATATATATAGGAAGGGTTGCATGAATCGGGGGTGGCGGCGGTTGTGGAAATTGCATTTGTTTATCGATTCGATTGTTTCCCACTGTGAACGTCGCGTGTTCTGGGCGGAAATTATTTATGCGGATTAATGGTCGCCTTATGATTAAGTCACCTGACCCGAATAGTGGTGAATTATGCAGGACAATTTTCGCAGCTGCTGCTGCTACTGCCTCACCTATCCTGGGATGGACACGTTCCACTTGCGCACTTTTATTGCGGATAAATCCAATTTTATATAGAGCTGAAAAACTGTAAAAGTATGCTCGCAATATCCGCGATGGATATACGATGCACACGTGTAGCGTTCGACCATTAAATATTCATCGTTGACAGATGTCGAATTGGTTCGGTTTTCGGTGCACTGGCTGAAGTTAAGTCGTCGCATCGGACGGTCGCATTTTTAAAGTTCACGTGTGTCAATATTTCGGGGTATGAAATATGTAAATCGTGTGCGCCCTTTGAACTCGGCCGCAATCCACGAGTTTTGTTTTGTAAATGAAAATCGGGTCAGCTGGGAACGATTTATGCTGTGCTCTCTGCACTATGTTAAAGCCGCCGCTTCGAGAGCAAACTTTGGACGAAAATCGCGTTCGAAAACACCGACGATTGCCAAAAACCTGCAGCTACCTTGACTTAATTAAATCCTATCCCAAATTTAATCCTCAGCAAAAGACTGACGCTATTCGGTTTTATATATATTTCTTTCGAATTGAAACGAAATATGCATAAACATTTGCATACGGCAACGAAGAAAACTCAATTACAACTGACGCCATCTATTAACTTGCATGAAATTAATACACGACGAAAAGAATAATTTATTTTTATATTTAGAGAATTCTATGTCATCTAGAGATTTCTCTACAATTTTTATTCATTGAAAAACTTTAATATTTTGATTTAATTATATAAATGAATGAAAATAACGCCATCTATAATTGATATAGTTACTTAATTAAATTAGTTTTCTTATATAACTTTAGTAAAATAATTGATTTTTTTGAGACAAGTTTATTTAAATTTAAGTTTAGCTATGGTTTTGATATTTACTAAACTAAAACTGTAAATATTTGTATATAAAATGTATAGTCTTAATGACTAGTTTGACACAGTTTTCTAAGTAATTGTTGAAGTTACTTGGTAAATATGTGGGGTAATCGATAACTTTCATATTTGCTCATTGAATAATAATCGGAAAATAAGTCTTCTTCATCAGCACTTATCGATATTGCTGAAATTGTGAGTGAGCGCGCTTTCATAACTTTTAAGCGGATCGACTTTCCTAATCCTATAATTGCACTCGTCGAGTTGATGTGTGTAAGAGAATAAAAGAGAATTATAGAAGGATTAATTTGCGAAGGAGATAAAATTTTCTGTGTAAATATGATCGGCGTGCATCCATGGATGTAAAGCGAAGTGGCACGAGCAGAGAAGAGAAGAGGCTTTGAGAGGAGGAAGAGCTGCCTCTTCAGATTTCGCGAGCTTTGATGCATGTTTAATGCCGTGCCTAAAGGTTATCGATTCCGTGGGCGTAACGTGTTACGCAAATAAGTCGATGATTAATCATGCAGAGCAGAGCAGAGCGGACGGCAGATGAGAATGGTTTGGTGGTACTCCCATTCCCATTCCCAAACTGAGTGCAGATCCTCTTCTCATCCCACAACATGCAGCACCATCACCACCGAACTCCTCCGCCACTCCTCGTCATCCAAAATATCTGGCTTTAATTGAAATTCATTGCACGGAAACCCCCAATGTCTGATACAACCAATTAACTGTTTGGCTGCATTCAATTTAATGATGATGATGATGATGATGACGAGGGAACGACGATGATAATGATGATATTCTAGTGCAGCGGACAACATCGTCGTGACTATATATTTGCTGTCCCATTAGGACCCAATTTTAATAGAGAAATCCGCACAATCGGCGAAACACACACATTCACTGCTCCATTATTATATCGAAGGCCAATTCCTTCCCTATATTTCTCTTTTGCTACTTTCTTATATGATCACCAGTTTCTGTAGGTTAGTCGATGTTAGCCATGTATATAATGGAAAAGAGAAAGGGAGATTCTTGCTGAGATAATTAACTTTAGGTCGTTGCTCTTCTCCTATAATTGGAAATAAAAACAAATCTCTATATCCTTGGAATTTTATTTTGTTTTGTACTTAGATAAATTTAGAAATAATTGTGTTTTTTTTATTCACAAATTAAAGAAATTTTGACTTCAATATTGAAATTAACGTTTGCATTTCAATGAATAATTTAGAGAGAAAAATTTAGGTTAATTTTCCAAACAAATAAATAAAATATCAAGATTCTATTTATACTAAAATGGAGAAATAAATTGGTTTAGTCTACTTTTTGTTAATTTATGTTATCAACTTTAATTTCTTCTAATTTCAATGAATTTTCTATTTATTGTCTAAAATGAAACTGTAATTTAATTGAAACGAAAGTGAGTTTTAATATTAGAAATTCGATTTACTCTACTTAAGGACTTTCATTGCCTCAATTTCTGGCGCCTTGAAGATGTAAAGTAAAACTGTAATTTGAAGGAAAACAGCCCTCGAGTGCGGAATTGGAGATGTTCGCAATTATTTTTGCACCGTTCGGTGTAAAAAAAAAATATCTTCCAACTTGTTTAGTTTTCCACTCTTTATTTTATTTTTTTGTATGCGGGTCGATGTACGTGGCTTTCTGACCTTTTTTTTTCCTGTCGAACGTAAAAAGGGCGCTGCTTCAAGCGAAGAAGTAAAAAAAAAAAACGCGGAGAAGACCAGACTCGAAGGGCAATTTCGCTTTTGTCTTTCCCTTTTCCACACGCAACTCGAAGGGAGAAAAAAAAGAAGGGAAAGGAGATGGAGTTTTCCCCCCAAAAGGCTCCAGGATAATTAAACACGCAGAAAATTTCCAAGCTATTAAACTTTCGGCTATGCTAGTTGTTGTTGTTGTTTGTGTGTTTTCTTCACGACAGTCTCTCAAAAATAAAATTATATTTAGATGTATGCGAATGAATTGCTGCAGAGTTGAGATATAAATTAAAATTTTGCATATTTTATATTCCGACTGATGAATTATATTTTGTAGGACGATTAAATATGAATTTCGTTAACATATAAATATGTATAATTTGCGACACAAACCAAAACTGCGCCAATTTTCGCGCTGCTCGGGGATTTAACCGAAGTCGACAATTTCTGGCTTATTAATATTCTCGCGGAACTCTTGCAGCAAACTATACAGCGCCGGTATTATGTAAATAGTTTTAATAAGGGAAGGAAAGTCTGTTAGTATTGTTACATGAAATAACCATAATTCAGCAATTATTTCATAGATGAAAGAACAAAACAATTAACCAATATTTGCTTCAAAGTGTCGAAATCTCTTCTCTAAATAATAAAAAAAAACCATTATTTCATCAATATTCATTAGGAAAATATTAGTTCTCAAAATTGTGTTGAATAAAATGAAATATTCTAAAATCTATTTTTTTTTCTTTTGCAGTGACAAAATTCATCCGTATTGGAATTGCCGACAAGAATGACAACCCGCCGTACTTCGATAAGGCTCTGTACGAGGCGGAGGTCGACGAGAATGAAGACATCCAGCATACGGTGCTCACGGTCACCGCCAAAGATCACGATGAATGTAAGTACTTTCTTCCATTCTATCTTTACACGATTGATTCAAAATCCATTTGTCCTCCTCGTGTATACTGTTATTTTTTTTTTATTTCACTCGAATCCCGGATAATCCCAGTAATTCAATTCCGAGGTGAAACTTTCATTTTAAACGTTACGTCGTCTTACCCGAGATAAACTTCACTCAAGATTATAGTGGTGATCAATGCGAACTCAATTTACAATCTAAACGATTTACAATGCAACATTCATACAAAAAAAGATTTATTGTTTTCAATTGATTCATTAGTACTTCAATTTTCAACTGTAACAAAAGCGCGCAAGACAAAAGAGCGCAGTAACAAAAGCGCTCAGTATCAAATCTTAAACAAATTTAGTATTTGTTTTTTCTATGAAATTGTGTTGAAAGCGATCCATTGAATTTAGTTAAAATGTTCGCTTTTATATAATGGCTATAATTAAATATTCATTCTTTGGCCAATTTCCTCCAATTTTCCTATAAATTAGTTGTACAAGAAGTAATAGTAATATTGTTTTTATGAAAACTTGATAATTTTTCGTTTTGTCATATAAGAAGTGTTATTATTTAGATTTGTCGCAATTTTCTTGCAATTGAGGTTATGTTAGTTTTCATTTAAGAAACTTGTAGTTTAGATCATCTAATTTTATTATGATGTAAAAATTATTATTTGGTCAAGTTCAAGAATCTAGAAAATTATATGAAAAATCGCATTTTGTACGCGATTAAAATTTACAAAATTTCAATTGTTTCCTTATAAAATTCATAAAAGATTAAAGAAAATCTCAAAATTGTATAGTAACGTTTTTTTTATATATTTTGTGAATACAAATTTGTGAGTAAATATGGTTCAATTCGAACGCGATTGTGATTTGGCCTCATTAAATTAATAATAACATTATAATAATTGATTCATTAGTACTTCAATTTTCAAATACAATAAAAGCGCGCAAGACAAAAGAGCGCAGTAACAAAAGCGCTCAGTATCAAATCTTAAACAAATTTAGTGTTTGTTTTTTCTTTGAAATTGTGTTGAAAGTGATCCATTATTTTCCTGAATATGCATTCTACTATTATTTTTATTTTCTGCGAAGAGTTATGTAAGTTTTCGTAGAATCAGCAGTTTCATATCTCCCGTTAATACACCGAGTGTAATCGCTTCTGCATTCCCTGCAAACGTTCCGTCTACTGTTTCCCATCTAATAGAGTTTATTGATTCCGTCTCAGATGTTGCACTTTCCTTCCACTTCCTCGTTCAACACTCTTGTGTGTGTGTGCGAAGTTGAGGAATAAAAAGGGTAGTTTTCCCTTTATACTCCTTAAACTTTATCTCTCCCTCGCTTCTTATCCTTGGCCTTTCCGGGCTTCGAATAACTCTGATTACAATAATTAGAAGAACCGGCTTTGCGTAACATATTTACACAACTGTTCTCATTTCCATAAGCGTATGGAACATTTCAGCATTGAAATTTCCTCATTTCCAGTTTAACAAATTTTAATTTAATTGAAGATGAAGACAATTGTCTTGTCTTTTAAGATTTGAATACAAATTAATGCAATATTTATGACATGATTAAAGTTTGTGTACTTGACTTGTAAGATTCGAGAGATGATATTGGCTTGTAAAGTTGCAAGTAAAGTTTTGATTAGACATTGATGACGCAATTGGAACATGGGAATTGGAAGTGAAAAACGAAGACAATTCAAGCGAAATTTACACTCGAAATAGATATAATCTTTGTAGGTACGTCGATAAAACGTCGTTTTATCTGGACAATACCGATCTGCCCGTCTGCCGTAATGATTTCAATGGAAATAAAATTGGGAAATGTGTGTTTTCGAGAAGTTCGCAAGAAGTTTTTCGTTAACCTCGAGATGAATAATATAATAAAAGCTGGTCGCTCTGTGCGCGCTATCTCTTTCTCCAGCAACAAATTTACGATTAAAGTTCAATGAGAAATGCGTTCTTTTGTGGCGAGAATAACGAGAAAAAAAGGAGATGGAGATGGAAAGAACAATTGGGGTTCCGGGAAATAAAGCACCTGAGGTCGTTATTACCTGGTTTCTGGAGATGGAAAAAGGGTTCCAAACATAAAAAAGGCACATAAAAAATTGGGGGAAGAGAGGAATCAATTGGAGGAATTGTGTATGTGAAACCACGTTATTATTAAGGATTATTGATTAGGGTTTTGTACATAAATTTTGTCGCGTTCGTTCCATTTCTGTCGCGCTTCGCATATTAGGATTATCCGATTACGCGTATAAATAATAATGCTAATAAACATCTCCTTTTTTTTTGCTTTTTTTTAACCCATTGGGAAGAAAAATAGTCGTAACTGGGTGAAAAATAAGAATAAATCCGGAGTGTGCGAGATAAACGCGAGCGGAATAAATCGTGCCGTTTTGATAGTGTCAGGAATGGAAGGAGCGGCGGTTTCTCAAGGAAGAAATATGGAAAAACGAGATTTGCAAAAATCCTCGCATCGAAATAATATGCAGTGTCAACAGAGGGGGGGAAAAGAAAAAAAAAACATAACAAAACAAACATTAAATGAGGGAAGAGGGAAGACCGACCGATCTGCAAACAATATGAGGTTTTCTTCTTGCATATGCGTGGTTTTATCCTTTGGCCTAAACTAATATGAATTTATTTGAAAAGTTGAATATGTATGCAATTTAAATTCGGTAAATTTGAATCCATTTTAGTAATTAATTGGCTCACAATTTATAAAAATAAAGATTTTTTTAGTCAGTTTTGTAACGTTAACATTTTAATTTAATTTAACAAATGTGTAGCTTAAATTGTTTAATTTTATTACAATGAAAAATTATTATCAAAATTTCTTTTTTTACGAATAAAAAACGAATAAGAAATTCAGTTAAAATTAAATATTAATTCTTTGACCAATTTCCTCCAATTTTCCTATAAATTAGATGCACAAGAAGTAATAGTAATATTTTTTTTTATGAAAACTTGATAATTTCTGGTTTTGTCATAAAAGAAGTGTTATTATTTAGATTTGTCGCCATTTCCTTGCAATTGAGGTTATGTTAGTTTTCATTTAAGAAACTTGTAGTTTAGATCATCTAATTTTATTATGATGTAAAAATTGATTGCAAAAATTATCATTTCATCAAGTTCAAGAATCTAGAAAATTATATGAAAAATCGCATTTTGTACGTGATAAATGAAATTTTGTATTCAATTATTTCCTTATAAAATTCTGTCAAAATTGTATAGTAACGTTTTTTTTTTTATATATTTTGTGAATACAATTTGTGAGTAAATATGGTTCAATTCGAACGCGATTGTTGTGAATTGGATCGATCGAATGTTTGGCCTCATTAAATTAATAATAACATCATAATAATTATCGTTAATGCAATGAAAACCTAGCGAAGCGATTTGTGGAAACGCAACGATATTGAATTACACCAACAACATCAATTGATTCGATTCGATTCCACGTCTCCCTGATTGCTTTGTATTAATGGTAAATAATAACAGATGGAGATTTTTGTAAAAGTTCCTCAAGGAAGTGCACTTGGGACGATACAAACAAAATAATCTTATTAAATTCAATCAAAATAGATTTATGTTTGCATTAGTTTATTTTGTCAATATTTGCGATTTCTTTAGTACTTTTATTGACTTCAAATTCTTAATATTTATTGAATGCTTTACAAAATTTCAATTATTTCCTTATAAAATAAGTTAAAGAAACTGTCAAAATTGCATAGTAACGTTTTTTTTTTCATATATCATTAACATCTTTCAGGAAATACTCTAAAATTAATATGATTAGAGAAAATCTTAAATTTTTCATCTGCTAAATCTAAGTATTTAAAAATTTGTCCTGCGGTTTCTTTAGTTGACCTGTAAAACTTTGTCGCATCGTCTGTAAAGAAAATCAATTAAAACTGGCGCTGAAACAGAAGATTCCATTTTTAAATTTACCATAATTTTTTTTTCCCCCGTTCTTATTGTACATTTTTGTTCACGTCGTTTTCTCCGGCGATGCGGATTTCGTATTGAATTTCAATGGGAATCAATTTGCAATTACGTGTAGCGACGCGCGATTAATCATTCCGGATTTCGCAGTGGTAATTACAAGTGGACGGGAATTATGTTCTTAGCGTGCAGGTGAGGCTGCATGCGAGATTCACCGCGAATGAGATTTATCTCCCATCCTCCAACCCTTACCAAACCAAACGAACCAAAACCGAACCCAGAATCCACCCCAATTCCTCCATGTAGATGCTAGAGGGGAGAAACGGTTTCCTCCATCCAGGTTTTGGTGGTATTAATACCGCGATCACGTTTCGAAGCCAAAAGCTAAGAGAATGGCTGCAAGAACTATGTGCGAAAGATTACAATTGCGTCGATAAATTCCATCTTTGTTGTTTCCCTTTATTTGTTGTTGATGTTTTTTTTTTTTAATTTCGTGTTTTCCCTTCGTGCTTTATTCCTCGAAGGGGGATGGAAAAAAGAGGCGGACAGAGAGAGAGAGCTTTTACATCACGGTCACGTTAATCGCTCATCACTCAAACCGAATTAAACTTGGTCTCCAAATTAATTAACCGCCGCCCGTGATTAAACGCACAATCTTCCGCCGCCCCCGGCCTTCTAAATATATATATATATAGAAATACGTGCTGTTTCTGTACGAAAAAAAAAAAGAAGAAAGCTGGGTGTGTAACGAAATAGGACGTAATTTATTCGCGTCTCGTAATTTGATCCAGTCACAAGTCAACCGAATCCTCCTCTCACATCATTCCCAGCAAATCAAGTGCGTTATTGGATCAGCGGGTGTTTTCGAACGGCAGATGTTTCCTTCTCCTCTTAGTAGTAATAATTAATTAATCAATTAATTAACGCTGATTTATTTGCGTTCAGATGTTGCAGCGAAGTTTATTGCAAAACTTGGAGAATACCGGCAATTCCTTTGTCCAATTAGCGCTCATCGAACGAAACTATTACCGAACTT